CCGCCTCGCGCCCGGCCCCGCGCGCCTCTGCCGCCTCCACTCCCGTGTCTTCGGCTCGCCTGTCCTCAGCAGGGAGAGGTGTTCGCGGGACGTGTTCACGTCACCTCGACTCTGCCCACCTGTCCTCCTGGCCCAGGCCTGGTGACGTCGCGCTGCTGGGTGTCACGTCCTGCTCCCAGTGCCGGACACTCACTCGCCGTGGGGCCGGACGTCCCAGCTCGGTTTTACATTGAGGCGCACTCGGGACCATCCTTGGCCTTAGCCGCTCCTGAGCTGAGCGGGAGGAGTCACGGCCCGTGCTGTTTTGTTCCAGCAGAGTCGCCCCGCGAGTCCTGGGGGGCCGGGAGGGCGGGGCTTGGTCCCTCCAGGGTCCGTGCTCCACGAGGGCCGTGACTCCTCACTCTGTCACTTGTCCTCCAGTCTGCTCTAAGCATGGGGCGTGTGAGAGGACATGGGAGGCCATCAAACGTCTCGTCTCTCTTTACTCCCAAGTCAAAATTGAGGAGCCAGTTTCCATGGAGATGGACAACCACATGTCAGACAAGGATGAGAGTTGCTATGACAACGCAGAGGCGGCCTTCAGTGACGATGAGGAGGATCTCAACAGCAAAGGTCAGGCTCACAGCCAGGGCTGTCCGGAGTGCGTCAGCCCGGGTCCCGCTGGCAGGAGCAGCCTCTCGGTGGTCCTTCTCACCTCTGCCTCCGGGTGGGTTTCATCCACAGGGGTGCTGGGTGCGACCCCAGGGTGCAGAGCCCTGCGCTGGGCACCGAAGCAGGGAAGGAGGCATGGCCCCGGCCTCGAGTCCTCGGGCCGGGCGGGCACGCGTCCGGGAGGTGCTGCAGGCAGGCACGCACGTGGCGCCGAGCATGCCCGTGAGGAGGGGCAGGTTGCTCGGGGGCTGTCTCTGTCGCTGTCCAGGCAGAGTGACTTCTTTCCTAAACCACCCCCTTTAGGAAAGAAGAGAGAGTTTCGCTTCCATCCTATCAAGGAGACGGTCGTGGAGGAGCCAGTTGACATCACCCCGTACCTCGACCAGCTGGACGAGTCTCTCAGGGACAAGGTCCTCCAGCTGCAGAAGGGCAGGTGAGCACAGCCCGTGCGCCCGGCCCAGGGGATCCAGCCCCGGGCTCTGCCTGGTGCTTAGTGGGGCAGCAGAGTGGCAGGGTGGTGGGCTGGGAGGGCACATGCTGGGTGCACGGAGAGGTAGCTGGAGCTGCGTGAGATGCCTTCTGCAGTTTAGGGGGCTTGGGCTGGGAGTGGGGCAGCCTCGCTCTCCAGCACCCCAGTTCTCACTCCCTGGGTTCTGAGGGGAGGGGCCTCTGCGAGCCTAAGCAGGATGGTGAGGACACCCTTTCTCCGTGTGGCTGTGGCCAGAGAGCAGCACACTGTGCCCCGAGCCTCCCCCCAGCCCTCAGCCCTCAGGGCCCCTGTGTTCTGTTCTGGCGCGTGGGACTGTGCTGGTGCCCACTCTCCTGGGCGCGTGTCCTGCCTCTGCCATCACCTGCGGCCCTGTCGTCTCCTCTCCCTTCTGTGTTGCAGTGACACAGAGGCCCAGTGCGAGGTCATGCAGGAGATTGTGGACCAGGTCCTGGAGGTGAGGGGAGACCACCGCCTCGGAGGGAGCA